GAGATTGAGGTTTCTTTAAATAATTAATTATAATGACGTATTGATTAAGGTGGGCTTTGATTCAAGACAATTTCAGAAAAAACAAAGGAATGATCATTTATTAGCTTACTGATCTATCTATCTATCTATCTATCTATCTATCTATCTATCTATCTATCTATCTATCTATCTATCTATCTATCTATAAATATTTTCTTGCATGTCTATTTTAAGTACTATATACAGTTTAGCAGTATTGTTAAAAATAATAATGATCATCGTAAATATACTAATAATTATTTCCATTACTGTCATTGTAGCAAGAGCGAGTAAAAATCTAATAGCTCTAAATATTTGTGTTTTCATTATTGTATACATTGATAATATATTACATAATTTATTATTATTTAAAGTTATATAAATTATGTTGTTTTATATTTTAAATTGCTATAACTCCGGGAACTATTTTTACATTATTATGGCTATTGATAATCAATCACAATTTTATCAGTGAACAAAAAATAAATAATAATAAAAGTTATTATATTGTATTATTATATTGTATTATAGCAGGTATTATTATACAACTACAAGAGCAGGAGAGAAAGAAAAGATGCAAATAAAATAATAACTCACCTTCCATCAATAAAATGACCAATTAAATCTTTACATGTCACTAAAATGAGTGTACAATGGCTTTAGTAGAGTGAATCCTACTCTGACGAAAAGATTTTAATAACTGGATCAACGAAAAAGGAAGAAAACACCTTCATTAAAAGAAAGTTTGTCAATATTTAATTTGCAGCGTTCACATTCTGCGAGACGCTCTGCACTGGGAATGAACGGGTGTCGCGGAAGCCCCGCCCCATCCGGTTGCTGTATCCAATAGAAACGCACCATTTGCCATGATGGGACGTCACGCACACTGGCGTCGTGTCGGGATTGGAATGTAACAGAGTAACAATCGGAACAACTGAGCAATAGGTGACTGTGCTCGCGGATCAAGGAACTCCGCTGATTTTATTTGTCCCGTGAAACTCGCTACAAAAAAAGAAGAGGAAAACGGGAAACGTAGCTTTCCGGAGCCGGTGTATATTTCCTGATGAGGAGGAAACCCGCTTCTTTCGCGCGTGAAGATCCACGGAGAGCGCAGGAATAAGAGAAATGCAGGGATTCGTGCGGTTACCGTCGCTCCGGTGAACTGTATTATTGTTTCTGAGGTGAATGGAGTTACGCCGGATTTCACTTTAACGTTAGCCCGACTGTGTGCTTCGGAAACGCCACAGCATCGGAGATTAAACCTCAGTCGCTGTTTCATCATTAACGACTTTCCATCGGGACTCTCCGCCAGATGAACTCCATGAGTCCCGACGCGTTCATCTAACGTTAGCGAGTGTCCTGTCAACAAACCGGCTAGTTCGACCACTCCAACTAACAACCGTTAAAAACCCGGCTCGACCACCCACAACTACGAGATTGTGTGTGCGCGCGTTTGTGATGATCCTAACAGGGACGGTTACCGCTGAAATGGTGCTACCCGACAGACGAGGGAGATCGGTGTAAAATCGCCCACATGTACTGGATCAATCGCTTGCTGGTAGCTGATCGGAATCCGAAGCGGGAAGAAGAAGACGTGAGTTGTAAATCCTCGCAGGCTGGAAGATGGCGGAGCAGCACCATAGCTGGAGGAGGTGGTGGTGTTGAGGGACAAACTTCCAAACGCTTGAGATTTATTTCCAAACAGCGCGATCTGGCCTTCAGGACACATGCAGGCCAAAAAACGATATCTGATCTCGCTCTTGACTGGCGCCTTTCTAGTTCTGCTCATTTACTTGGGAGGAGGAGGGGTCCCGGGTCCCGCGGCCCCGGGCTCCAGGAGCCGGACACATGGATACAACCGGCCCGATCAGCCGTGGCCACACTTCTCGGACCCCTTACTACACTTCAGCCCGTGGGACCACTCGGACACGGAGGACTATAACGTGCACATATCGCCCAGGCAGAAGAGAGATGTGAACTCCAGCGTGTATAAGGGTAAGCGGTGCCGCATGCAATCCTGCTTTGATTTCTCGCTCTGCCAACGGAACGGCTTCAAAGTCTACGTGTATCCGCAGCAGAAGGGGGAGAAGATATCGGAAAGTTACCAGAACATCTTATCCACCATCGAGGGCTCTAGATTTTACACCTCTGACCCTGGTCAGGCGTGCGTGTTTGTGCTGAGCTTGGACACTCTCGACCGAGACCAGTTGTCTCCGCAGTATGTGCACAATCTCAAAACTAAAGTGCAGAGCTTGGCTCTGTGGAACAACGGTAGGAATCACCTCATATTTAATTTGTATTCTGGCACATGGCCTGATTACACGGAAGATTTGGGCTTTGACATTGGTCAGGCCATGCTGGCCAAAGCTAGCATCAGCACCGAGAACTTCAGACCCAACTTTGACATCTCCATCCCCTTGTTCTCCAAGGAGCACCCGAGGACCGGCGGGGACAGGGGCTACTTGAAATACAACACCATTCCACCTTTTAGAAAGTATATGTTGGTATTTAAGGGCAAGCGCTATTTGACAGGCATCGGCTCGGACACGAGGAATGCTTTATATCACGTTCATAACGCGGAGGATGTAGTGCTGCTCACCACCTGCAAACATGGCAAAGACTGGCAGAAACACAAGGACGCGCGCTGTGACAAGGACAACGCAGAGTATGACAAGTGAGTCCTCAAACTTCTCATATCATGCTGCTTTCTAATGCATTAAAGGGATGGTTCACGCAAAACTGAACATTCTCTGAACATTTACTGGCCATTTGTTCCAAACAAGTTCGATTTTCTTCGTTAAACACAAAATAATATAGTTTGAAAAATGTTGGAAACCTGTAACCATTGACTAACATAATAGTTGTGCTCTTTTCTAATACGTTGAAGCGGTAGTTAACGCAAAACTGCATTCTGCCATATTTTACACACCATTTGTTCCAAAAATATTCTATCTTCTTTAACAAAATAATATAGTTTGAAGAATGTTGGAAACCTGTAACCATTGACTTTCATAGTAGTTGTGCCCTTTTCTGATAGTTCACGTAAAACTGAGCATTCTGTCATCATTTGCTCACCATTATTCCAAACATTTTAGATTTTTGTTTCGTCTGTTAAACACAAAATAATATAGTTTGAAGAATGTTGTAAACCTGTAACCATTGACTTCCACAGTAGTTGTGCTCTTTTCTAATACATTAAAGGGGTAGTTAACATAAAACTTAGCATTCTGTCATAATTTACTCACCATTTGTTCCAAACAAGTTCAATTTTCTTTGTTGAACACAAAATAATATAGTTTGAAGAATGTTGGAAACCTGTAACCATTGACTTCCATAGTAGTTGTGCTCTTTTTTTAAAAAATTACATTAAATTTTTTTAAATGCATTAAATGGATAGTTAATGTAAAAATAAGCATTCTGCCATGATTTACTCACCCTTTGTTCTAAAAATGTTTGATATTCTTCGTTTAACAACTATAATATAGTTTGAACAATGTTTAAAACCTGTAACAGTTGACTTCCATAGTAGTTACAGTCTTTTTTTTTTAACACTAAAGGGATAGTTAATTTAAAACTGAGCATTCTGTCATAATTTACTCATTTGTCACAAAAATGTTCGATATTCTTCGTTAAACACAAAATAATTTAGTTTGAAGAAGGTTGGAAACCTGTAACCATTGACTTCCATAGTTGTGCCCTTTTCACGTAAAACTGAGCATTCTGTCATCATTTGCTCACCATTATTCCAAACATTTTAGATTTTTGTTTCGTCTGTTAAACACAAAATAATATAGTTTGAAGAATGTTGGAAACCTGTAACCATTGACTTCCATTGTAGTTGTGGTCATTTCTAATACATTAAAAAGATAGTTAACAAAACTGAACATTTTGCCATAATTTACTCACCATTTATTCCAAACAAGTTCAATTTTCTTCGTTAAACACAATATAGTTTGAAGAATGTTGGAAACCTGTAACCGTTGACTTCCATAGTTGTGCTCCTTTTTTAAAATTCATTAAATCGATAGTTAATGTAAAAATGGGCATTCTGTCATAATTTACTCACCATTTGTTACAAAAATGTTTGATTTTCTTCGTTAAACACAAAATAATATAGTTTGAAGAATGTTGGAAGCCTGTAACCATTGACTTCCATAGTAGTTGTGCTCTTTTCTAATACATTGAAGGGGTAGTTAACATAAAACTTAGCATTCTGTCATAATTTACTCCCCATTTGTTCCAAACAAGTTAAATTTTCTTCGGTAAACACTTAATATAGTTTGAAGAATGTTGGAAACCTGTAACCATTGACTTCCATAGTAGTGTTGCTCCTTTTTTATTTATTTTTTAAATGCATTAAATGGATAGTTATTGTAAAAACAGGCATTCTGTCATAATTCATATGTTACAAAAATGTTCAATATTCTTCGTTAAACACAACATAATAGTTTGAAGAATGTTGGAAACCTGTAACCATTGACTTCCATGGTAGTTGTTTTTCCTATTATGGGAGTCAGTGGTTACAGGTTTCCAACATTCTTCAAAATATCTCATTATGAAAGTCAGTGGTTACAGGTTTAGAGTTTTCTTCAAAATGTAAGTGGAATAAAGACACTTATAAAGGTTTAGTGCCTCTTAAGGGTGAGTAAATAGTGAGAGCATTTTCTTTTTGGGTGAACTATCCTTTTAAGAGTGCAAATGGTTGTTTTACTACATGATTAGTTGGTAGAAATCACAATTAAGGCACAAGGTTCACACTTTTCGTACACAAATGTTTGTCGTGTTCTCTTGGGTCAGTCTGTTGTCAAGTTTTAACATGGGTTAACATTTTTATTTGGAACGTTCTTGTAATGTTTTTTTAATAACGTACCTGTGAGATTGTCGCCATGCTAGCTTATTTTGGTTGCCCACTTTTACCTGTTTTTTTTTTTTTCAGCAGAGCATGAAAGTGTTTGAACTTTACAAAGGTCATGAATAATTAATTAGGTAAACACTAAGGCACAGTAGGTTTGGTTGCTTGTTGCAAAAGAGTTACCTGCAACATTCAGGCACCTCACTGCATCAAAATGTTTAAGCTGTAAAATAAAATAAAAAAATATGAACAGGGCTTTTTTGTTTATCTCTCACAGTAGCATAATAAAAACCTATATTTGTGAGGTATAAAATCTCACAGTTCTGAGAAATAAAAGTGATAATGGCTAATATCAGTGAGCTGGAGCTCAAACTCCCCCTTGCTGGAACTCAGCTCTGCCCATGTGGCTCTGCAGTAGGCATGGGATGATCAGTTTTCAAAGTATACCGCGGTTTAGAAAAATCAAGGTTTTAAAACCGCAAACATTTTCTACTATACCGTTCCTAAGGTATGTGTAAGATTTTCAGTAGAAAGTATCTCCAGCAGAAAAGATATCCAGAAATACAGTTTTAAATGGTAAAGAAATCAGTGTTTATGAAACTAATGAAGACAGAAGAAGTCAATGACTTAATTTAGTTATTTAGCCTGACATGTTTACTGCTGAAATATTTTAATATTTCTCTAAATAAATGTATTGTTCAGAAAGGGGAAAAGGTTTTTGTTATTTTACCCAGACTTATAATATAAAAAATAATATATTTTAAATCAGTAATCACAATATTGTCAAACCGTGAGTCCATGATCTTTTTACCCAAGTTATTATACCGTCAGAATCTTATAGCGGCCCATAACTCTCTGCAGTGAGTACTAGGCGGCATGGGCCGGTATAAGATTCTGAAGGTATGATAGCCTTGGATAAAAATATTATGATTTTACAGCATCACAGTATTGTGAT